GACATATTACATGTATCTAGAGATGCATCGCATTTCGAAAGAACTTTAAGAGAAATCTATCATCCTTCTTTACAAATAGAGAAAACTAACCTTAGCTTGACAAAAAAAAATTTTTTTTAGATCTTACTCTCAAAATTTCCAATAATAAAATTGAGTTTAATATGTATAATAAGACAGATGACTATAATTTCAAAGTATTTAGATATCCACATTGGGAGTCTAATATTCCCAGATATATATTGTACAATACTTGCACTTCAGAAATTCTTAGAATTTACAGAAAGTGCTCTAATTATGCATATTTTAAGGAAAGAGTAATAGAACTAGCTAATACTTTAAGAACTAATGGATGGGAATATCATATTTTTATTAGTAAACTTTATCATATACTATTCGTTAGACCATTTATAATGCGTAAGTACGGAGTTCCTAGTAACATACATTTGCCTCTTTTACATGACCTACATGACACTTGGGCTCACGCTAGCGCGCTCTGAGGTCACGGCGGGAGTAATCCAGTTTGAAAAAGAGGTCGCTATTTCCTCGGATGACACTTGCCATTCAATCGTATATGTACATGTTAACAACTTGCACCTTCTTCAATCAATTTCTTTATACGCCATTTTCCGTCTCAGACCTCATCTTAGATTTTCATTTGATAATTTTGAAGCTTCCTTGGGAACTACTGACGAGGGGCACCAAGGAAGCCGCTACCGGTATAGTTCTAAGCCCCGAAACCGGATAGTGTAGAAAATGAACAAAAAGGAATTGAATTTCTTGTATTCCTAATTAGTATTTATCAAATTCTTTTTCATACTAAAAGCCACAAAACCAGTTGTTATGATAAGCGAGGAACCCTCGTTTTCGCTCCTGAGATTCCATTTCAAGAATATCAATTTTTCTGCCAATAGATTTGCCAAAACTCTTACTCTTCAACCCGTTTTTCTTTTTTGTAGACCTTAGGCTGACCCGCTCTCTTTAGTTTTGACCCGAAGTGGCCCAAAACCCTCTATGCTATGGCTATGAAACGTAATCAAAAGCGAGAATTTTGGTGAGAGAAATCACATCTACAATTACTGCTTCAGCAGTTCTTACAACTTCGAGCCAATTCGACACGCTTCATAATGTTAAAATGCAGTGAGCTGTAATCTTTTAGGTGCGCAAACATTTACTGAGAATTGTTCTGACGTATGCGCGACTTCTACTGCAAAAAAATAGAATTATTTCCCCAACAGAATCTTCATTTGCTAAGGAAAGCATACTTGTAATATATTTAAAAAGCTCTACGGGAGATTGTGTAACTAACCATAATTGCTCGCCACTAATGCTCGGATTTACTTGAAGTCAGCGCATTCGTAAATGTGCTTGCGCCTTGGTTTAGTGGAAAGTTTGAAAGTTCATAAGACTAATGGCAGTCCATCTATGATGCGCTAGCTATCCTATTATGAATGTCAAGTTGATGAGTCACACGACTTTTTAAATACTGAGGTCACAATGAAGCGAAAATTGACATTGGCATAATCTCTATTCCAAGGGTTTCCAAATAAGTTCCTTCTGCAATGCAAAAACTAAAATAAGAACCCTCAGTGAACTTTTTGCTCAAACTATTAGCTGATATACTTCTCAGAAAACTGTAAGTCTTTCCGATTAGCTCAATGAACGAGCAGCACTTGTTATTTTGTAGCTATCCTTAGGCTCCCGCCAGAGTGCCGAAGTTATGCCAGCGCTACGCCAGCATTTCGATCGATACAGGTGTATTTCGTTGGGGCGGAGCTAGCTGACGTCCCCAACGAAATACACGTGTATCGATCGAAATGCTGGCGTAGCGCTGGCATAACTTCGGCACTCTGGCGGGAGCCTTATATCAGTGCTAAGATTTGCAACAATCACATTTTTTGGGTCTTCATGCGCAACTATTGAGCATTCTTTGATACCGCACTCCTTCGGATTTTTCATAACTCTGCCAGACTGTTCTTCATCTGTGAAGCTCACAAAAATGCAGTATCTTTGGGGAAACAGTTAAAAATTTATTTTATGAAGAAGCACGGAAGCGCACTCTGTCTCATATTGGACCCCAGCATTGCAAAAGTAAAGAGCGGATAGATAACACGACTTTCGGGGAAACAGTTGAAAAATTGAGGTTTGCTGTGACATATCTGTAGTAGTTTGTTGGTTTAGAGGCAGTGGATCGGCAAAACTTAACAGCGCAGGATTTTGACGCAGTAGGTTCCTTATCGCCCAAGTATGAAAACAGTGCAATCCCGGTTGCACAGCATGACTTCCTTGCTAGAAAGTTGCTTTCATACTTACACGAGCAAGGCAATCTTAACGCGACCGGTCGAGTTGGCAATTTCCTTCCCACCATTGGAGGCTGCCCGCCGCAATGCTATAACCATTGGGCTGCAACGATCCAGCGTCATCAGCCTTGCTCCACTCGTCCAACTTCAGAAGGAAGGGCATCGAAAAATGCAGGTTTTCGCCGTTTTCAAGCTTTCTGAAGAGGATTTTCGCGATCAGCGTATTGAATAACCCCAGTTAAGCAAAAATTTGACTTTAAGATTTGCCGAGCCACTGCCTTTAATCTTTTCTCGGTTTTGTGTCCTGGTCAATGCTACACCTATAGTGTTTTGAGTGAAATATAGGCTGCACTTAAAGGCAGTGTCCGGGCAAAAAGTCGATTCTGAGATTTGGTGCTTACCCGGTCCTATTCAATGTGGATTTCCGAAAATCCACATTAGAAAGCTCGAAAACGGCGAAAAAGGGCTCTAACGGAGGAGGGAAATCAGAAGTGGGCGTGGTCTTCCCCACTGCGGATTTACGCTCCAAGCTTCCGGAGCGATCTTCTCAGTCCCGATTTCAAGCATTTGCACCTGGCCTGTGGAGATCTCGGGGCGCTAGCGGAATTGAGAAAATTGCTTCAGAAGCTGGGACCGTGAAATTCACAGTGGGGAAGACCCCATCCACTTCTGATTTCCCTCCTGCGTTAGAGCCCTTTTCGTCGTTTTCGCGCTTTCCAGTGTGGCCTTTAAGCAGGAAAATCGCGTAATGCAATACGTCCTTCATGAATTCGTGTATCTCAGCTGAATCTTATATATAAAGCTGGATGTCTGTTTATCTGTACAGTCTGCCCCAATCGGGATCAGGCTGAATTATCGGCTGAATTCGCGCGCTCGCAGCGCTAGAGGTTCTCGCTGCCCGCCATGCCAATTTTGGCCTGGTTGGGATTGGGGCAGACTGTATGTCTGTATGTCTGTATGTATGCTCTGAATAAAAAATTCTATTTCTAACCGATCCGGACCAAACTTGGCACGGGGCGGTGCTGGTGTCATAGGCTACTTTTCGTCGTCGATACGATGTCGATTTTGGCAAGTTTAAGCTACAGGGCTGGGAGGTGATACAGAGATAATCAAGGTGATTACGAATACAACCTTATTAATCAAAATCCATTGCTTTTATCGATATTTTGCAAAGTTAGACCTGCGGGGCTGGGATTTGGCACAGGGTAATCGAGCAGGCTGATTACTAACACAGGGGGATAGGAAACCGGCATGTAGAAGTGGACACAGGGAAAGGTTGTACAGGGATAGGGATGGGAGCTTTATCATAGTGTTTGCAAGGCTGTGCAGAGCCGGGTAAGCCAGCTATAGCAAAGACGACATTTTTTAAAATGCCTGTTACTTCTGTCGATTTCATTGCTTTTTTTGCAAAGTTTGAGCTACGGGACTGGGAGGCACAGGGGGGTAAGTAAGCATGCTGATTACTAACACAGCGAGAATAGGGAACTGCATGTAGATGTGGGCACAGGGAAAAGTTGTACTGGGATGGGAATGGAACTTTATTATGGTGCTTTGACAGGGCCGGACGGAGCCGGGTAAGCCAGCTAGTATTTTGCTAAAGAAAGATGATGATAACTCATTTCCAATAGTAGTGTAACGTTGAAGGTAGCCTGTTGGTACCTAGCGACATCGCCAATTTGGTTCTGACTAGTAAATTGCACATGTCTCCATCAGTGGCGTACCCAGGATTTCGGCTCGGGGGGGCGCGGCAAAAATTTTTTTCAAATGAAGGTGCGTGGCGTTAGCCACGCACTCCGAAAAAATTTTAGGGGGGCTTCTCAATATTTCTGCGGGCCCCCAACCCCTAAAATGCCCCCGAAAAAAATTTTTTTATAAGGCTAATTTGAATTTTTGAAAATTTTTAAAAATTATATTAATTGTTTACAAAAATAAACAAGTTACTTGCACATATTTACAACTCATGTAAGTAACTTTCAAAAATTTCGCGACCCGTTCTCGGGTCGCGAAATTTTTGAAAGTTACTTACATGAGTTGTAAATATGTGCCCCCCCCCCTCGGTACGCCACTGGTCTCCATATATAGCACTAGCTGGCTTACCCGGCTCCGCCGTATGTTCCGAATAGAAAATTCCATTTCTTAACCGATCCGGACCAAACTTGGCACACATACCCTTCGGGCCCCGGCGGGTCAGTCCACTTTTCGTTATCGATCGATGTCGAATTATCGATTTTTTGCAAAATTTGAGCTATGGGGCTGGGAGTTGGCATAGGGGTGTAATCGAGCATGCTGATTACGAATACAATATTAGTTTTCGAAACCGTGCATTACTTTTATCGATTTTATCGATTTTTTGCAAAATTTGAGCTACGGGGCTTGGAATTGACACATGGGTTTCGAGCATGCTGATCACCCCCACGGGGGTGATCAGCATGCTCGATTACCCCCCTGTGCCAAATCCGAGCCCCGTGGCTCAAATTTTGCAAAAAATCGATAAAATCGATATCGATCGATACGAAAAGTAGCCTATGACACCCGTGGGCCCGAAGTGTATGTGTGCCAAGTTTGGTCCCGATCGGTTCAGAAATGGAATTTTCTATTCGGAACATACGTACAGACAGACAGACATACATACAGACATTCAGCTTTATATATAAGATGTACCTATTCCTACTCCAAGGCGACTGACTTTGCAAAATTGTCTAGGTGTCGAAGTTCTGCTGGAGCGAATTCGTCGCAGACGAGACGTGTCGGGTGTAGCAGTTATGAAATGGCTTCGCGATCGACGTTTTGGTGCTATACAAAAAGGAGTACAGTTCGTTTTCATGCACTATGTTGTGATCGAACTACTAGTTCAGGTACAGGTGCTCTTCTGTTGAATTGTGCTCAACTTCCCCTCAGACGCTGTATCTAAATCATTACAGGATGGCGTAATGAAATCGAATGATCCAAAACTGGTTGCTTTTCGACAAAAATATGAGAAATTATGGAACAGACTGCAAAAGGCGCAGATCAAGGCTAGGAAAGAACTGGAGCTGATGAAAACACAATGCGACGAGACGGAAGCGGCTGCACCAGCCAAGCTACAGCGAGAATACAATTTGGATGAGTCACAGAACTCAGATGAAACAAAAGAATTTATGGATGATGAAGATTTCGATTCGATGAAAGGAATCGAGATCTTACAGGAAAATTTTAGGAAACTAAATGCAACACCAACTTCTTGATATTTATCAAATGGCATTTTGGATGAGAAAAGTTTTTAGTCCTAACCTAATTCAATTTTACAAAGATATTATATTCGCTTTTACTGTACTGCTCGAGTTAATAAATTTGAGAACCAGTTCTAGCTGAGCTTTTTCATTACTAAAATCCTCAACACTCAGGATGCAAAGAAATTTCAAATAAAATGTGAGTACATGAAGGAAGAAAAGGATTGCTTGTTTTGGTACGCTTAGAGGCAGCATGAAAGCCCTGCGGAACCCCTTCCACTCTCTTGCAACGCCAATCCTCGACGGGTTTTCGCACTGCAAATACAATCGAATACACAGTGTTTATCCGCTAATCCTTGCTTTCGACAAGGATAGCATCAGGGTCCTCGAACATGCTTCTCACAGGCGAGCCTCAAAAAAGGAATTGTTGAGGGATTCGCGCTTTTTGAGTGCCATTGAAATCAGCGCCATGAAAAGGCTTGGAAAAGGCGAAAAAAGAAAAGATGAGAATTTGACCACAGAACCGACCACTTGGATCTAGAAGGCCCTCGTACAAATTAAAACGAGATAATCTGCTATCAAGAAATGAGTGACGTATTTGAGGCTCCGCTATGACCAGGTCAAACTCAGATTTCGATCCCTCTACCCTCCGGGCCCGTAAATAAAAAACCAGAGTAATCAGAGAGGATAATAGCATTGACTTGGTAATCGACTGGCTCTCGCAAGTCACTGTGAAAGGTTCGCACACGCATTCAGTGGCTTTTGCCATTATGAAGTATAGTACGGCATTTGGCGCAGAAGGTGTTGCAGACGCTGAATCCTTTCTTTTTTTTTCATTTAATCTACGATTGATTTGAGTTGAAGATACGAGCTAGAGGCGGAGTTTGCGCGAAGATTTTATAGTATCCGGGTCACTGTCAAGTGTTGGTGTCTCTCTACTTATTTACGCTGGCAATGAACTCAGCACTCCTTGACACTGTAAGCAAGTCAGACCAAGACAAATTTGATCTCGTTTAGTCTGGCTCGGGGAATCTGCATCTGCGCGCTTTCTATTCTTCCTTGGCCTTCGTTGCGTTGATGCGCTTAGATCAGAGTGTGCTTGAAATGTCAAAAAAATGCTTTTTATGGCGTTTTCCGGCCTTGGAGATTGCTGAGGAGGCTGGAGCGGAGAATCCCGCCCAATAATACTTTCTGCAGGAGACTGTAACACCATTCGTTTTGGCGGCAGTTGGCTGTTTAGTCCACGCCGCCAGTCGCGACCAGAGGTGCGATAGGGGGAGCCGGGTCCCCCAAAAGTGAAGGTGGTTTCAGCTACCACTGGCCGGCCAAAAGTGAAGGTGGTAGTGTCGGACACTCACCTCCCAAAAACGTCGACGGGGGGGGGGGGGGGAGGTGCGGGGGGAGGATAGAACGGACGAACGGAGCTATCTTTCTAGGTCTAACGTCGACCCAACGGCCCTCTTTAGGGCCACAGATACGATGAATATTAAAAATATCTATAAATTTTATTTATAAAAATTCAAAATAGACGTGTTTAGTAAATGGTGTATTTGGAAGTAGAAGTTTGTTGGACTGTACGGATTTTATTAAGCAAATTTTGTTATAACGTACAGCGAAGAAAGTAGATCGATCCAGGCAGTAACGGCCGAGAATCAGAATTTCGAATAAATAAATAGTGAAAAATCATGCAAAATTTCCACTGTTATAAATCTGTTGTTTGAAGATGTCAGCAGTTGCGACTTCATAGGTTTTAAAGAGTAAATGTTGCTCTATCAGCTAGTGAAGGAATCTGGTCGATTTAAGAGATAGTCGTTGAAAACCAGAGTTCTAAAACTTTACGCCATTTTTGCGTGTTTTTTGACTGTTGAGAGTTAAACTCTTATAAATCTTGAATGTGGAAGTGTAGGATGTTGCGACTTCATAGGTTTTATAGAGTAAGGTTTGCCTTATCAGAATATGTCTTGTCCGTTCCGATCCATTGAAACACCTCCGAGATCCAGAGTCATGAAAAAGCAGGTAAAAAAAAGCTTTTTGAACTTCAACAGCTCATAACTTCTTCAGGATTGCACGAATCATGTTGCGACTTCATAGGTTAGATTCTTCTCGTCAAGAGCTTTCAGATGATATATAATATGTGGGGGTTTAGAGCCTCCTGCGAATTATGACCGGGGGGGAGGGGGAGACTTTTTAGGCCAAAGTCTCCCCCTCGCCCATTTTAATGTATTGGCTGGAGGCTGCCGGGGGAGACTTTGGCCTAAAAAGTCTCCCCCCCCCCCGGGCATATGCCGTAAGAGGCGCGAAACCCCCACATATTATATATCATCTGAAAGCTCTTGACAAGAAGAATCTAACCTATGAAGTCGCAACATGATTCGTGCAATCCTGAAGAAGTTATGAGCTGTTGAAGTTCAAAAAGCTTTTTTTACCTGCTTTTTCATGACTCTGGATCTCGGAGGTGTTTCAATGGATCGGAACGGACAAGACATATTCTGATAAGGCAAACCTTACTCTATAAAATCTATGAAGTCGCAACATCATACACTTCCACATTCAAGATTTATAAGAGTTTAACTCTCAACAGTCAAAAAACACGCAAAAATGGCATAAAGTTTTAGAACTCCGGTTTTCAACGACTATCTCTTAAATCGACCCGATTCCTTCACTAGCTGATAGAGCAACATCTAGTCTTCAAAACCTATGAAGTCGCAACTGCTGACATCTTCAAACAACAGATTTATAACAGTGGAAATTTCGCATGATTTTTCACTATTTAAATATTCAAAATTCTGGTTCTCCGCCGTTACTGCCTGGATCGACCTACTTCCTTCGCTATACGTTATAACATAATTTGCTTAATAAAATCCGTACAGTTTTGCTAAGCTTTACTTCCAAATACACCATTTACTAAAAACCTTTATTTTAAATATATATGCCGCCGTATACATAAATATATGCTTTCAATAATCTTTTTTGCGTTTGTTTTGCTTATTTTCCTTCTTTGTCGTCCAGCGAAAAATTTTTTATTCCAAAAGTGAAGGTGGTCACCCCGTACCAGCTCAAAAGTGAAGGTAGGGGGAGACTTGGCTCCCCCTATCGCACCTCTGGTCGCGACTCGACCGCTCCAGCCTCCTCAACAATCTCTAAGACCGGAGAACACCTTATAAAAGCATTTTTTGACTTTTCAAGTGCAGGTCTGGTCAAGCGCATCCAAAAAATCAAGGAGGAACAGAAAGCGCGTTGCAATTTTCTCGAGCCATTGCCTTCAACGGTTAGGTTGAAGAGAACGTTCAGAGAAGTTAGAAACCTTCAAACTCTAAACCAAAAAACTCACGTTTCCACGAAAGTTTGCTGTCTGATTTAGAAACGATGTACGATCACTGATGGGTTGATTCGGATTCAAGATGAATTATTCAACCTAAGTCTCCCAAACACCTGATAGATTCGGCTCGCAATTCGTAGGAAATGAACCCATACGTTCAATAAAAAGATAAAGAATAAAGGATTCGACGTCTTCAATACTCTCTGCAGGCATGCGCCAAACGCACTTCATAGTCAAAGAGGCTACTGAATGCGTACGAGCCTTCTGCACTGACTTGCGGGGGCCAGCCGATTACACGTCAGTGCTTCTATCCTGCCGGATTACTCTGGTACCAATTTTCCAACCCCGGAAGATAGAGGGCTTGGTTGGCCTAGAGGCGGAATCGAACTGTGTCCGATCTGCTCATAGCAATGCCTCATACCATTCACCCATTCATTTGTGAGTGAGCAAATGATGTACAAAGGAATGGTCAGAAATCGAAGTGCCAATTCAAGCAAGCTGCATACCATTAGATGCAGCATAAAACCTGGAGTGGTAGTAATTTGGTCGAAACTATCATGTTAACTGTGTTTTCATGACACCAGCTAACCAGCAGCTTCACATCATTTTCCCAACGAAACCACGAATTAACCAATAGGAAACCTCGAAATGCTATCTTGCAAAGCAAAGTCATTGGAGGAGATCGAAACTCTAACCATTCTCATGCTTGCCCGCAATCATTGCACTTTACCAAACTTGCAGTTCAGTCTTTAGCCTTGCACCTTCCTATAACCTTATCTAAGCCGTAAACAAGTAAGCTTTCTCATAGTAAGTTGCAGAATGATCTCCCTCACTCTTCTTAACTTGCAAAACCAACACATCATTGTTTGAAACGAAAAAGTGGTCGGGGGTACTTTTTCATTTTAAACTATGATGTGGTGGTTTCACGTCTGCGTCTCATGAAATGAAGTGCTATTTTCATTACTCTATCTGATAAGGGAACAATGGTGTTAACCTGCTGTTTAACTCATAGTTTGGTTTAGAATGAAACAAGCATGAAACAGTTATGGTTTTCTGCTAGTTACTTGTTTCATGATTTTGTATGACCGATTGAACTGAGTGGCCGTGAAAAGATGATCATGCTTACCACGATGTAACCATGATTGAACTATCACATCATTTGTTGGTTTCGACTAAATTACTACCACTCCTGACTTTAAATCTGTCTTCCCTATCTGTGGAACACTTTCCTGGATGAAATTATAAGCCGTTAAGATCATTATTTTGCTAAGAAATCATGCATGTTAAGGGCAAACTTGGCCGTACAGAGCCATTCTCCACTCAGTGCTGGGTCAAAACATGCAACCAGGCCACTTCAATTGGCCCTACCTATAGGTGAGCTAAAACGGCAATAATGTACCTAATTTCGCAATTTTTATGTGCGATTTTCTCTCAGTAAAGCTGCTCATGACTTCGCCCACAAAGGCGTCCCGCAGATATGGAATGAAGATTACCATTCGATATGTATGCAACTTGTTTGGATTGGCCACTTCGACTTCTGACCATTCCCTTGTTAACACAATAGAGTGTTACCAGCCTAAGTGGCACGGTTGGTTAGATCGCATCATCCATACACTTTATCGCTTACAATGACAGAACATACACGAGTAAGATATACCAAGTGGTGAAATCACGAGTATTGAATTTGTCTGAATGTACGTATTTAAACAAAAGAGCTTAATTAAGTCATAATATTCAATCGGCATTGACTTTTAATCCGCTGGTAGTCTTAGTTTGAGTTCTGCCTTCTTCAAGCGCATTTTCGTGTGCTTTCGGCTCCGCCTTTTTCTTTTTCTTCTTTTGTAAACGTAATTTGTTCGACTCCTTTACTAGTTGATCATATACATTACGGAACTGGATCAGTCGAACATCGTCGCTGTTCAACAACTTCTCCTGAAACATTGTTAGTACCCATTGTAGCAACATTCAAAGATTGTTATTGTCGTTCAATGAAAGCATTCGTTTCTCGTTTTTGTAGCTTTTTGTTCACTGCAACAGAACTACTTTAAGCAAGTATGAACGAGATCATATTCTTATTGGGCTCGACCGCCAAAGGATTTACGGCCAGAGAACCCTACACCATGCTGCGCCTTGCTCGAAATTGTGCGAGAGAGAGATCGCTCTTCGCTCCACAAGGCACGAAGCGCTTCACTTCCGAAATTAGGGCACGTAAAAGCTGACATCAGCGCTAAACATGCCGTCTTGAAATTTTGAGAAATGCATGGTTTTTGTTCAAAAAAGTGTCCATCAAGCTATATTTTTTTCGTTTCCATGATTACACCCTTGAAAAAGAAAGGAAAAAAGGAAGTTAAAGAAGCATAATACCAGCCAGTCTCGCCACACATGGAGATTGTGATATGAAGGAAAACAAACCAAACGCCCCAAATTCGCTGTAAGTAGATGTTCGTTTGCTAAAAGAGAACAAAGCAGCAGGAAGGAAAACAGGAGATGAACTTATTCTTGTTTTACAGAATGGGTGTCCGAGAATAAGTCTTGAAAGCACCGTTTATCCAAATTAGGCCCCGGTCAGACTTCACGCGACTTAATCGTCGCGATCAAATCGCCAAGATTTCCATTCATTTTCATTTCACATTCAAAAATTTCGGGCTGGAAAAGTATCACAACCGAATGCAAGTTGATCAACATGGAATGATGTTGTAACAGTTGTCTCGTCGCGATTCAGTCGCGACGATCAAATCGCGTGAAGTGTGCCCGGGGCCTTAAAGGTGGAGCGACTTTGATGCCGGATAGCGGGGCTCCTAGCAAAGTAATTGACCAATTTCCGCTGCAAAAGAAGAATTTCGAAGCGAGAAAAGCTTCAAGGTAATATCGGCCAAGGTAGCTCCGCTAATCAACACGAGTGGGATAACAAGCCTAAAAGAGCTCGAGTGTTTCATCCGATCTTCATTATTGTCAATCTTTCGAGTTTTCTATTTGCCTTAAAGCCCAGTTTTGAAGTTGTTTCATTCAAAAATCACTCTGATGGGCGGAGCCACACTTTAGCTTCCATATTCTGGAACCATTTTTCCACTTCGGGATCCTTCGGGCGGGACTTAGGGCCAGGGCTCGGCACGAGCTGGCACCAGGGAAATTTTAAAACGAAGTCCCGTTTGATACTGAAAATTTCGTACGAAGTCCCTTTTGACCTGTTTTGAAAACCCGTCATCATTTTTATATTATGTAAAAAAATGTAGTAGTGTTTTCATGCATTTCTGATTTCGTGAAAGAACTTTTCACAGCTTTATGAGCTTTTTAAGTGGTCGAATCACATCTTGAGAAGCAGAAAAAGCCGATTTTTCGACGGCGGAGAGGACCGAGTGGTTTTCAAATTGCTATAAAACGCTGATAAGAGAACATTATAAAACTGTTTCTTCTCCGTATGTAATCTTTTACAGTGTAGATACATTTTATGTAAAAAAGTATGAAAACTTATGTGAGTGTCGGTGCTAGCTCAGCTGGCACCCAGCTGGCACGGTGCCAGCTAATTCAGAAAAAAGTTGGGCACAGCTTTCATTCACGTAAGTTTTCATAAAATTTTTGGCCCGTAGTTCCGGTCCACCAACGCGCATGCACACACCAAATTTGGTGTCATACTGTCGCGTTTTGGCTGAAAACAACGCCTTTGTTTGTTGATGGACAGCTTGCCAATGGCATGCCGGTGGCACGCCGGCGGCATTTTTTTGCGGCAGTTCTCCGCCTCGGGACCTGTGGAAACGATATCCCCTTCGCTTTCCGCACTAAAAACGATATCCAGCTTGACCCAATGCCAGCTGTGCTGAGCCCTGCTTAGGGCGATCACTTGATTAGGGGTTTGCTATTGTAAGCATCATTCTCACTATCCTCAAATTGGTTGGACGGTGCCTTTAAGACAAGATTAGTGGTAACTGTCAAGTTGGCTTGGCGGTTAATCAATCTTACGACTGTTACGTTCTTTCAAATCAAGGTTCACATACTGAAAATTGATAGAACAAAACAAACTTATCCAATTAAATCTGAAACCAAAATTTAGAAGTTATTCTATCAGTGGATCCTTACAAGAAAAGTTTCACTGAACTCCAGCTTACCAAGTTAACATCTAACAGACGTATGGGACATTGTATCAATTCACCTTCAAAAATCAAGAACATATTCATTCAAAATTACATAGATGTTGTTATTTATTTATTGCATAGGAAAGTTCCTATGTCAACATAAAACAACAACAAAGAAAAAAAATGTTATCCGATATTTTTCAATTTTGGTATTTTTTTTTCGAAAGTAGTGCTTATAAAAGGCCGTGATTAAACTTTAGAGGCCTGTTACAAATAGCAGTGTTAGAAATGCTTTGAAAAAAGCTTGGTAGTTTTTAAAGGCAGTGTCTCACCAAAGTTGAGGTCGCGGGGATCTTTACATATTCTATTATAGGGTCCTTTAGATAGGCCATTGCAACAAGTCCCACTCAATTTGACCCCCTCTACGCTGAGAAAAATTCGCTCAAAGTGGTACGCGGAGAGCCAGTTGGTACGCGCGGACGACTCTTTCGGTCTCCCCCCTTACGCGTTTGAACACGTCCCTCCACTTGGCATCCACCTTCCCTCTGTTGCTGCCACTGTGGCTAAGGCTGAAGTTGGAAGGTACAACTCGTCCACATTGCTTCCGCGGGGCCTCCAGAAAACGGGGTTTTTGGGAACTTCGTGCGATTTTAAGCCCATACAGTGCTAGACAGAGTCCGACAGGCTTGCAAAATGCAAAAATTTCGGTAATCAAATATTGGTGAGACACTGCCTTTAATTTGACGGATTCCAGCCACATAATCAACCAATCATCATATATACAGGCCGTGTAGCGGCAACACCCCGCGCCGTACAACCGCAACGATACGCGCGAAGTAACCTATAAGTCAAAAATCGCAAACTTGATTATTACTGTCCTTGAGTGCTTCTCATTCTCTTACTGATTTAAAAGCTACCATTGTTATTTGTAGTCATCTTACAGCTAGACGGCCAGCTCGCACGTGACGGTTAAACTGCGCGATGAATGCATGCAGAATATGGCGGGTAAGTTTGGTGAGCAAGTCGGATATCTATAACATTTTCTGAACAAAGTTCCGAGATTCAAGGAATACTTTTGGATTGAGCTTTGCTTCAAGTAGAAAAGCGAAGGCCATCTTAGAAAACTTGCCATTATCTTCAGATATCAACTGCCCTGGTTTATATAATAGAAATATAAGTTGTCAAACCAAGAATCTTACGAGGAAATTTAGAGAATAAATGAGACGCGAGGAAAGTACGAGACAGGGCCAAACGAGTGTGGCAATTATACCGAAATTTTCCTTGCGGCCAGCTGCATTGTACTGTTCGCATAGACACGTATTTGTTTTCAAGGTTTGTTCTTGAAAATGTTGAAAAATCGCGTGATCAAAGAATTGCTCACTTCGCACCGACATCATATAGTCAAATGCCCGCTTTTCTTCGCCTTTACTCACCACCACGCTGCAGCAGTAGAGTAGGGATATGAGAGCTAGGGTACATCAGCCGGATAATTCCGCCTAGGTTATGTCCCGATAGAGCCTCCTGATCAGACAATCGCCGGGGGCAGGCCGGCACCGGAAAATACGCGTTGCTGAAATTTCGCATCTCGCTCGCAAATTCCAGGAAAATAGTTAGCGAGTTTTTGAGAAACCGCTTGTTGAATTTTTTTCCGCTCTTATTTTTTTGCAGATATATTGCTGAATCTCTGAGGAATCGAGAATTCAGCAAGCGACGTTCCGAAAAGTCCTGACTGCCTCTCAAAAAATTCGCGAGTGGGATTCGAGAAATCAGCCATCTATTTTTCCGGTGCCCGCCTTCCCCCGGCGATTGTCTGAGTGCCTGATCGTTTGCCTATTCTGGGGATATGGGAGCCTGCAGATTGCGTCGGTTGCCGCTTTTGCAACCGGTAGCCGGTATTGCGCCGTCGAAGCAATCGCACCAAGCGCACTGGGTCAGATTTTGTCGTGTGGCGCCTACTCAGGTAATCGCCGGGCGCAGGCTGCTATGCGAATTTTGAGCAAGCGGGCACCGGAAAAATAGTTCGCTGATTTCTTGCGGTCTGCTTGCAGAAATTTGGAATAATTTTGGCCAATTTTTAGACGAACACTCGGAGAACTATCGCGGTCTTTCTATGGATGAGTTGTGGCTCAGTGGCCGCGCATTCTTGCGGATTTTTCGCAGGAATGTGCAAAATTGTTGGGGCCGCACGGTCCTTTGTGAAGGACCGCACTGCCCTCCGCTGAAAGAAGGTACCCTAAACTCGGGTGACTAAACCATCGATGACTCCTCTGCCACATAGAGTCTCACCTTTTCTCGGCGTACGCCCGAAACTGCGTAAAAAGAGTCCGAGCGCTTGCTGAAAGTTTGCCCAGCGCTCGCTGAAAGAAATTATTTGCCGAAAGCTTGCAAAAAATGCTGTATTGCTGCCCGCTGGCAGAATATGCGACCATAAAGAAAGTGCCGCCCGCTGAAGGTTTGGCCACGCCCCAATATTCTGCTGACCGCCTGCAGAAAAAAGCGCGAGTTTGCGGACCACCTGCCCCGGCGATTATCTGAGCAATGGGTCTTATTCGCACCAATGGACACTTGCAAGGTTTTTGTATCTTTTTTCTCCATTTTTTGTTTTTAAGGTTGTCTTCTATGTTGCAGTGAGCGAATTCGCGCAAATATGGTTTTGATCGGGCTTCCGCGAATCATTGTTGTAGAAACTTCCTTCACTTCCATTCAAAACTTATTTGTTTATGCCAAAGTGAGCGAACCAGTGCTACGCGCAGTATTTTCATATAGTTTTCATCTTCAGGCAGTTTTGTGCTACTTAACTAGCTTCAGTAGGAAACAGGATCTTTCCTCAATTCGTTGAAGTTATGCTATTTATATTGTGCT